CGATTGGTTACTTATGAATTCGAAAGAGCGCGAACGCGAGCATTTGTTGACCATCTTGCTGCGAAGCCGTATGTTATATATATATATATATATGTGTGGTCGGGCCACTCGACTTTGAAATCCTTTCGAAACCTAAGGCCTTTGAAGGATAACGGCTTGCGCGCGCGACGACGCGCGCGTGTACTTCGCCCAATTTCTTTCATCGGAATCCTGAAAGCTGCGACTTGTGATAAACGAGTGTGCGCGCATGGTATTTTTCCAAACGCTGAGGGGGGGTCAACACCGTTCTAGCTGGCGTAATACGAACTCATATTCAGAATTGACGAGTGCGCAAAATACATATGACAACTCAATGCGCGAAGAGGGTCGTTAAGTCCTGGGGTGAGGGGGGGCGGTCTATATCTGCTTTAGAAGAGAGAACATATGGCTCGTCGACACACTGGTGCACCACCTGGCGCGAAGGGTAACGCGCATCGTTCTTGTATCTCGCGCTCGTTTTTTACCCCCCCATCCCCCCCATCTTAATATCGGGTGCGGTCCAGGCGAGTCGAAACAGCTCGGTGGTGCAACATTCTGTCGGGTCCCAGTGGGGTGGCCCCAAGGCTGTTCGCCATGCGCCCAATACCGAGATCGGAGGAAAGGGGGAGGAGCAATACAGTGTAGGTGCCAATGCGCGACAAAAGAGGTGTAACATTTTATCGATGTGCGGTGAGGTGCGCGGAGGTCCGGATTCGATTTCTATGTGCTGCTATGGCTGTGTACTACAATACTATGCAAGACTGGGCAATGATATGCAATGTATGCAATGCTATGCTGTGCTGATGCTATGCTGCATGTTCCAGTGCCGTGCCAGGCCAACCCATGATCTGCTATGCGATGCATTGCGCAACAATGCAATGCAATGCCATGAGACGGGGCATTCAAAAGAACGCAGTGGAGAGAAGCCGGAGGTGGTAGAAGATGTAAGGAGGATTAGAGTCAGATGGAGCGGGAGGAGCGCGGAGGAGTCCGACAGAGCATGGAGAATTGCGTTGGGGACGGGCGCGGGCCAAGACGGCGTCGGGTGGGCAAGAGCAGGGATCTCGGTTCGACGTTCGATCGAGAATCGAGGATCGAGGTTCGATCGAGGAGGGAGGATCGAGGCTCAATCGAAGATCGAGGATCGATTGATGGTTAAGGATTGAAGACCCATCGATGATCGAGGTTCGATCGAGGATGGAGGATCGAAGATCGATCGAGAATCGGGGATCGAGGATCGACGATCGAACTTCGATCGAACATCGAGGGTCGATCAAGGAGGGAGGATCGATCGAATCAATATTCGATCGAGTACCAAGGACCGAGGTTCAATCAAAGATAGAAGAGCGATCGAGAACCGAGGGTCGATATTCGATCGTCGATCGAGGATCGATCGCTCGAGGATCGCTCGAGAATGTCTCGAGGATCGAAGACCAAAGGGGGTTCGAAGATCGATATTCGATCGACGATCGAAGATCGATAAATGGTTGAGGATCGAGTTTCGATCGGGGATCGAGGATCGAGGTTCGATGTGGGATGAAGGATCGGTCATCGATGATCGAGGGTTGCTCGATGATCGAGGATCGAGATTCGATCGGAAATCCAGGTTCCGTCGAGGATGGAGGATCGATTGAGGATGCAACTGCGCTCGAAAACCGAGGTCCGATGAAGGATCGAGGATCGAGGTTCGATCGGGGATCGAGGATTACGGATCGAGGTTTGATAGAGCCTCGAGGTTCGATAGGGGGATCGAGGGGAAGAGGGGGAGGAGGCGGAAGGGGGATGGAGAAGGGGGGAGGAGGGAGGAGGAGGGAGGGGGGATAGAGGGCGGAGGGGATGGAGGAAGGATGAGGAAGGAGAAGGGAGGCGTGCGGAGTAGGGAGGGGAGGGAGGATGGAGGAGGAAGGATGGAGGAGGAAGGATGGAGGAGGAAGGATGGAGGAGGAAAGAGGATGATGCGGGGGGAGACGGGGAACTGGAACCGCGCGCGGCTGGATTCACGCGTGGGACGCGCGGAGGCCACGCGCTGGGCACACCTACTGTTAATTCGGGCGTGTCCCCCTGCAGGGGGATTTTCGACAAAAAATAAAACATACTCAAAAAATGCCCCCGAATGGCCGAAACATATTCAAAAAACAGTCCCCAGACTATTTGTTGACTATTTTGAATATTCCCCCTGTAGAGGGACGCGCCCGACTTAAACCTACTGATGGCTGGCGCACCCGCCACATGAAGCCGAACGCCAGAGGAAGGAGGCGTGGGTACGGAACAAAAATGGGTACAATGCCCAACAACAAATGTTGTCCCAAACCAACAGCGGCCGCTGTTGGGCAGGCGGCCTCCTGTTTCAGATGGGCACAGGCCGCGGCGGCGCGGACAGCGAGTCCTGTACAAAATGAACAGGAACTGCTGTTGGGCATTGTACCCATTCTTTCCGTACTCATAGCGGGCGTCCAGAAAACAGGCCCGAAACTCACGCGGCCGGATTCACGTGCTGGACGCACAGAGGCGGCGTGCTAGGCACGCACGCTGATGGCCGGAGCACCCGCCACATACTGTCGAACGCTGGGACGGCATGCGGCCACGTGCGTATCCTGCTCTCGCCCACGCCAATGACATCGTGCGCATCCGACCTCCTTGCGCGCTGGAAGGCGTGTTTGGGCTCCCGGCGGCCCCTGTCGCGATGGCCATGCGACGACGATAATGATGCTGATCATGATTGGTGGTGATATGTGATTACGGGCATGATTGCGACAGCGACGAATATCAAGCCAACGGCGCAGCTCGGCACGCTAATGCGGTCAGTTTGCGGATATGTGCAAGCAGAGAAAGCTCAAGCACCAAATTCAGGCTGCGGCGGCACGAGAGTCGCTGAGAGCACCCGCCTGTGTTGCAAGGGCGGCAGCCTCGCCCAGGACGGCGAGGCCGCCCAGCCGTCCTCCGCGAGCTCCGCGACGGCGACCGCCCGCACGGCCAGGGCACCGCCGTGCAGCGCGCTCGCGGCCTCATCGGGGACGGAGACGCGGCGCAGCAGGGCCGGGAGCCCCTGCACGCATGCTGCCGCGGCGCCGCCGCCCGCGGGGCCAGGCTGCGGCGCCGAGCCCGGCGCCCCAGCCGCGAACGCCGCGGCGGCAGCAAGGAGCCACTTTTGCACCAATTCGCCCGACACGGCGGCACGGTGGCGGCTCCGCTTTGCTTGGTCAACGGCTTGCCGTTGGCAGCGAGCTGCTCGAAGCGGTTCTGCGAAAAGTGAGCAACGAGAGGCCTGCGCCGTGCTCGCAACAGTGACGAGTGGTGGCTCATTGGGCCCGCGCCGCTGAGGAACAATCCAGTCCTCTCACATGATTGCACCACACATAGGTTGCACCGCATGGACTACACAACATAGATTGCACCACAGATTTCGCACGACACAGCTCACACCCCATAAAACAGACCATCTAATTTGCATCGCGTAGCTTGCACCACATAGCTCACGCCACATGAGTTGAGCACGTTAGCTCCACATAGATTGCACAACATAGCTTGCACCTCGTATACTGCATTGCGTAGATTGCGCCACGTAGACTGCACACCACATAGACGGCGCCACATAGCTGTCACAGCATAGTTTGCACCACGTGGACTGCACGACATAGCTTACCCCGCATATATTGCACCACATATCTTGCACCACATCGACTGCTAGAACACACTGTGTGGGGTCTACGTCTGCTAACCTTGAACAGAGTTGTCAAGCGCGAGAGGGGCTTGTTGATGGTGGTGCTCATCTGCTTGCTCTGCACAACTCTTGGACGAAATCGTCTCCTTCAATTGTGCCCCTCCGTCGTGCTTGCGGGCGTGGGGGGCACTGCGCCCACAACGGGCCACAGACGGCAATGCAACGTTTCGGCGCCGCCGACGGTCGAGGATCGAGGACCAGGCGGTCTGGGGCATGTTTGGGCATTACTCATGGTGGATCCAGAAGGCAGGAGGAGCTGCTGTACAGTAGGAGTTCGACCACCAGAAACCTTCCGCAAGAAACCCAACCTCGAGCCCCTAAGATGTCCATTGATTTTTTGTGTGGGAGCGTCACGCTTTCCATAGCAGAGCCATCGCGACCCAAGAAACCCAGGGCACCCTGGAGGCAAGCAGGGTGCTTCTTGCCATAGGTTTCCACTCTACCTGTTTCGGAAAGGGGGCGGGGGTCCTCGGACTGCACCTCGTCCGCCCATCGTGAACGACCCTCCTCACGCTCAGACTCCCCTCCTCCACCTCTTCGACCCCCGTCCCCTCCTGTTCCTCCGCCTCCTCGTTCCTCACCTGCCCCTCCCTCTCCCCGCTCCCCCCCTTCGCTCCTGCGAAGGCAACGAGGCGATGACGGCAGTGGGGCTCGTCGACAACGCAGTCGCTTCGCTCCTGTTCCTCCTCCTCCTCCTCCCCCTTCTTCTGCTCCTCCTCTTCCTCCTCCTCCTCCTCGTCCTCCTCCCCCGCCTCTTACTCCTAAGACCCCTGGGCCCCTTCTTCGCTCCCTGCATCCAGGCAGCCCTGGGCGGGAGGTCTCCCTCTGCTACCCCTGCGAGGTGCGCCGTCGGCCCGCAGCCCAGGGCACACGACACCGACCGCGGAGTCGGCGCCGCTGCGTAGATCGGTGCCGAGCGAGGGGGGGAAGTGAGGAGAAGAAGGCCTTCTCAGAAGGCGGCGGAACTTCTCAGAAGCCCCCGCGCCTTCTGAGAAGTGTTCTCCGTCTGCGGGGAAGACTTAGAAAACTTCTCAGAAGGCCCGGGGACTTCCGAACCTTCTGAGGAGGCCTTCTCCTTCTCGCTTCTCCCCCTCGCTCCTCGCCGAGCAGAGGTTCAGGACCCAGGACCGACGGAGTGGGGCGAAAAACGTTCCTCCTCCTCCTCCTCCTCCTCCTCCTCCTACTCCTCCTCCTCCTCCTCCTCCTCCTCCCTCCTCCTCACCCTCGAAGCGACACGCGAGAAGGGGAGCGGCCCGCTGGCCTGGTAGCCCTTCCCCTTGCTCCAGCCCGAGACAAAGACCCACTGGCCCGGCACGAAGTGCCGCGCGGAGATCTGGTGTCCTGCCCAGGAGAGGAGGCAGTGAGCGGAGAGAAAAGCATGAGGCCACGAGGGATGCGTCTTCCACGTCCTCTTGCTCATTCTCCTGCTGCTGTTCCTCCTCCTCCTCCTCCTCCTCCTCCTGTCCCCCTCCTTGTTATCACCCTTGTCGACGCCCGCTCCTCCTCCGCAAATGCTCTGGCAAGAGGCGATGAAATGCTCCGCAACCCACGCAGCAACCTGCTGAGTTCGAAGCCGCCGGCGTCTTCCAATAACTGCGAGGCCACCAGGACAGCACACTCGAGCACCGCAAAAAGCAAAACATGAGAGGATTGAACAGAAATAATCAAACCTCCACCGACAAATATCTCAAGGATGGTCCGCAAAATCATCCGCTTGACTGGGGCTTCCATCCCTCGTAGGATTTCACAGGAAGGATCCAAGCTTGCAAGAAGTGTTAGAGCAGCACTTCGTGAAACTAAATGAGCCTGCACGGGAACAATACATGACGTTGCTCAACATCTTGTCCGATTTTCCCGCTGACGCACTCGGACGGACTGCCTTCCCGCCAACGGGATCTGAACATGCGGTTGGAACTCTTGAGGGGCGCAATCGCTTGATGTGGCGGGCCAACGAACCCTGCCATCTCTTGGGGGGCCGATCTATACTTCCACCGGCGTCCGCCAAGAAAGAGATATCCTCTGCTTCGATCCTCGAAAGCGAGGCTATTTCTTGGATGCCTCACGTTGGCCCCTGCCTCCTCCGAGCCTGCCCGGAGCCTGCCCAAGTCTGCTGAGGCTTGGGGCCAACCAGGGCCCAGACGGCCTGCGCGAACGGAGCTTCGATCTGCAGCCCTTTGTCGTGCGCCGCATCACGCTGGGGCACAGTGGATCGGGCCAGGTCAGCCCGAAGTGCGACGCCGTCACTCGGCCGCTACACGTTTCGGCAGCGAGCCCAGGGGGGGGAGAGTGAGAAGGAGCAGGCCTCCTCAGATGGCGGCGAGGCTTCTCAGAGGCCCTCCGGCCTTCTGACAAGTCTTTGTGTCTTCGGGGATCGCTTAGAAAACTTCTCAGGAGGCCCGAGGCCTTCCGAGCCTCCTGAGAAGGCCCGCCCCTTCTCACTTCCACCCCGGGCGCGCCGCCGAACTTGGGCACGCAGTCCCGACCTTGTCTTTCTCGGGGTGCGATATGCGGCGCGGATCCCTCGGGACATCCTTCTGGCGGCCAGCCTTGCAAATCGGCGTTCCGTTGCGGCCATTCACGTGGCAATACTTCATTGAAGTGCGCTGGCCACTGTCATCCAATGAGTGCATGCAAGTGATGCTGCACGTACCTCAAAACGAATTGCACTTCAGCCTCACATTTCCGTCGGAGTTTCTTGAAGGGGCCCCAAGACACACAAATAAATACACACAAATAACCGGATTCCATATATTTGCCATATTTTCTGGGTTTTCGTCTTCCCCCCCCTTCCCATATTTTCCCATATTTTCTGGGGAATCGACGATTTATTGTGTCTGTGTGTTTTTTTTTCCCTCCTGATTGCTTTGCGTCCTCGAACAATCGGGCCCACGGGCCCACCACGTACTGCTGCTGTGTTGACACATCCGCCAAGCGGACGCTTCCGCTACGACACCAGTCGCACGGCGACCCTGGGCACCTGCACCAGCAAGCAGACCGCATGCTCAGGCAGGTGCGCCCCCTGACCTGAAAGAAGGCTGCTTTCCTGGGTGCCTGGAACTTTTACTGGGGTGCCTGGTCTGAATGGGGCCCTGGGACACACAAATAAATACACACAAATAACCAGATTTCCAATATTTTCCAACATAATCTGGGTTTTCGTCTTCCCCCCCACTTCCCATATTTTCAAATCTTTTCCTGGGAGTCGACGATTACTTGTGTCTGTGCGTTTTTTCCCTCCTCACGGTCATTGTTGTGGTGGGCGCCGTGCCACTCCTCTGGGCGCAGGTGCAGTTCCGGGCAGAAGAAAGAGTCTGCCGCAGCGCAGCACACTCCCACGGGATGGAGTTCGGCGCTCTGTATGGAGCTCGGGGGTGCCGAACTAGGACTTCAGTTAGTCTTAAATCGGGCCTGTCCCCCTACAGGGGGATTCTCGACGAAGAATAAAACATACTCCCAAAAAATTCAAAAAATAATCCAAAAATAGTCTGGGGACTATTTTTTGAGTATTTGTTGACCTGATGGGGGTATCTTTTATTTTTCGTCGAAAATCCCCCTGTAGGGGGACACGCCCGACATAAAGTTAGTGTCGCAGAATGTCGCAGAGCATTCCTCGTGAAGGGAGGGGCACGCGAAAGCCTGCACCCCGCACCAACCTTCCCCCAGCGCGAAATGGCCATACGCCTCCCAGTCGCGATCGCCGGAGAGGAGCGCTGGCACCAAGCTCCCAGTGATGCCTCCTCACGTCCGCCGCCTCTCTCTAGCGCTCGTGTCACGCTGAGCGGTCTGGAGAGGTCGGGGAAACGCACCACAGCTCTCTCTGGCCTCCTCCTTGCAATGCCCGGCACGAGAGCCCTCCAAGAACGCCCCAAGACGGCTCAAGAGGCCCCCAAGCACCAAGACAGCCCAAGAGGGGCTCAAGACGGCCCGAGATGCCTCCAATTGGCTTAACAGGGGCCCAAGGGGGCTCCAAGAGGGACCCAAGATGGAGAACTCGAACAAACATTTTACCCTCTCCGCCCAAAGATGACCCCCGAGATCGCCCAAGTGGCCCCCTTTAAGCCTCAGGAGGCCCTAAAAAGACCAGGAAGCCCCCAAGAGGCCCCGAGAGTTCCACAGACACACTCAAAACCGACTCCAAGAGGCTTCCAAGAGGCTTCCCAAGAGACCCCCACAGGCATCGAAGAGGCCTATAACCTACAACCTCGGTAGGCATGGTGGCGGGATGGGCCGAAGGCCACCAGCTCCGCCGCCCCTTCTGATTTATCACAGGGCTGTCTGGCGTGCCAGACTTTTGAGTGTTTGGCCCTTTCCTTTTGAACAAGTTCCCAATGACGTTTCGGCCGATCCCGCTGGCCACTCAGAAAACCCACTATCCATGGGTCTCCCCCCAAAAGACGGCCCCAAGACGGCCTCCAAGACGGGCAAGATGGCCCAAGATGGTCCAAGATGGCTCCACGAGAACCCAAGACGGCCCTAAGGCGACCAAGATGGCTCCAAGACGGCCCGGTGGGCCCTCTAGACGGCCCAAGAGGCCCCCAAAACGCGACAAGAGGGCCCCAAGTGTACCTCCAGGAGGCCAACATAATTCATATCCCTTTAGTGTTGGAAGGGTTTTAGCGTTCTCGTCCTTCTTGGCTTCCGACGCTCCGAGACGGCCCTGTAGTCCCCACAGATAGCCCCAAAATGGCCCAAGAGGCCCCAAAGAGGTCCGCAAAACGGCCTAAGAGGGCCCCAAAACGGCCCAAGAGACCCCCAAGAGGCTCCCAAGACGGCCCCACAGACCCCCAAGGCGAGACCCCCAAGACAGCCTCCAAAGGCCAAGAAGTCTCTCAGAGACCTCCAGGAGCCCTCAAGAAGCCCCAGGAGGCCCCCAATAGACCCCAGGAGGTTCCCAAGATGCTCTCAGGAAGCCTTCAGGAAGCCGCAAGGCGTCCTCACGAGGCATCCTTCTCCTCCTCCTCCTCCTCCTCCGCCTCCTCCCCCTCCTCCTCCTCCTCCTCCTCCTCCTGCTCCTGCTCCTGCTTCGCCTCCTCATCCTTCTACTTCTTTTCATCCTCATTTCTCTTTCTCTCCCAGATGTTCCGCAATGGCTGGGGAAACACATGGTCTAATAGCTTGGCCAGACGTTGGCCCAACGTGTGGCCGCACGGGCGTTTCCAAAAGGCAGGGGGCGGCTGTGTTTCGCCATAGGCGTCTTCGATACTAGTACGAACGGCCTCAGGACCTCAAGCTCTGCTTACACCTTCAACTCGTGGCCGACGCATCACACCATATCGCTACGCAATGGAAAGAAACAGTAGCGTCACCACTGGCATCGGCAGTAGACAGACTGGCGGCGACACAGGAGCATTCTAATAATTCCACGAACCGATTCAGTGATGATGAAAACAACCAGCTTCCCCACTGAGGGAAAGAGGACTCCACCACGCGATGCGCAAACCATGTGGGAGAAACACGGCGAAAGAGGGAACCAACACCGAAGGAGAAAACGAGGGAGGAGGAAGAGCACTAAATGCGTTCGCATGTCTCGAGCCTGGGGCAGATGGCCCAGAACTGATCACCGGAGAAGTGCACACTGAAAATCCATCACTCCGTGATGCCAGCGACCAGCTGACCGGCACCGGCTGACCTATGTCAGAGCTGCAAGGGCACGCGACTGTTCAAGGTGGAAAGTTGATGGCAGTCTACGACAACTGCTCAAGAGCGTCGACGAGCCATGGTGGGCCACGGACTTTCTCAAGGAGCATTCTCAGATCGCCTATCATTGTGACGGCGGAGCCTCCTGCCCCTGGCCGCAATTGGGAACCGTTTCGGCAACCCACTCAGAACCGGCACGGCAAAGTCGCACAGGAGTATTGTTAAGGCATGGCGCAGTCGCAAACAGGAAGGGAGCCCTCGGGTAGGCCGGCGGCGTCGTGGGGGACCACATGGGACCACCCTCGCTGATGGAGGGGGCCTCCCCAGACGCCACGTGCAAGCACCATAGGGAGGCCCCCCAACGCCCTCTGGAGGCGCTGGATTGGCCCCAGAACTTCCCTGGGGAACTCCTGGAAGTTGCACGGACCACCCTGGGAGCGTCGTCCAGATCGGGAGAGGAGTGGGGCGACCCTCGCAGACGACATCGGGACGCGCTGGCACATACAGCAAGCGCGCGGAGCGAAAGAGCGGAACGCGCTCGTCCGCAACCGCTCGCGGCCACAAGTGTGTACCGCACCGGGAAGCGACGCCCCAAGAGGCGCATTGGGGGCGGTGGGGCGTGGACATCAAGGGGCCCCCCTGAGGCCCCACGCGAGGCCCGACCCCCCTGGGGTCACGGGGCGTCGCTGCCCGCGGCGGTGGCCGCGTACCCGAGCTCTCCGCCCGCGGAGGCCGGCCCTGCGCCCGCGCGCTTCCCGCGGGCAGCAGGCAGTCGGACGACACCCGGAACTCGCACACGTGATGCTTCGGGCCCACGCCGGCCTGCTGGAGCGCGGGGGGGCGCCGAGAGAGGATCGGGGGGCACAAAGACTGGAGGCCTCTGGTGGCCCAAGAAGGAGATCCTGCCTCCTCCTCCTCCTGGGCCCTCCCCTCCTCCTCCTCCTCCGCCTCCTCCTGCTCCTCCTCCTGGGCCCTCCCCTCCTCCTCCTCCTCCTCCTCCTCCTGGGCCCTCCCCTCCTCCTCCTCCTCCTCCTCCTCCTCCTCCTCCTCCTCTTCCTCCTTGATCCCCCCCTCCAGGAACCCATACAGACACCCTCCTAAGAAGAACTGCCAACAGCTTGGACTACCCCTTCCCTCCTGAGGGGGAGGATCAGGGGGAGAAAGCATCAGACAGATCACCCCTCCTGGTCCTCCTCCTGCTGCTGCTCCTCCTCCTCCTCCTTTTCCTCCTCCTGCTCCATTCCTTTTCCTTATAAATGACTTCTCCCTGTCGCACTCCGAGGCCAGTTTTTAGGGCGGGCCTGGCGTTTCGCCTGAGACTTCCTCACCATGTATGACCTCTGAGGCTTAAACATTGGCAACGTTTTCACAGATGGAGTGCGAGGCGTTTTCAAAATTTAGCCCTCGCCTCAGCGCAGCGCACATTCGTTTTAAACAGTTGCAAGAGCTTCACGGATTGAGGGCGGGTCGTTTTCAAAATGTGGCTCTCGCCTTAGCGCTGCGCACATTCGTCTTAAACATGTGCAAAAGCTTTGCGGATCGAGGGCGAACCGTTTTCAAAATGTGGCTCTCGCCTCAGCGCCGCGCACACTCGTCTTAAAAACTTGCAAGAGCTTCACGGATTGAGGGCGAGTGGTTTTCAAAATGTGGCTCTCGCCTCAGCGCCGCGCACATTTGCCTTAAAAAGAGCTTCACGGATTGAGGGCGGTTCCATTTCAAAATGTGGCTCTCGCTTTAGCGCCACGCACATTGGTATTAAACGTTTGCAGGCGCTTCACTGATTCCCATGATCAACATACCAGAAACGGTGCTTGGGAGGGATCCAGGCTCACGAGGGTGCACAACTTATGTTGATTCGCGGTGCTCAAGTCCCAGGAACGGCGTTCTAGCACGATTCAAGATCGTCAAGACGCAATGAACAGGTTGATCCGTGGCGTCGGAATCCCGAGAACAATATTTTGGCATGCTTCAGGGTCTTCAAACAATTGTCTTCCAACGGGGCAGTTCTTTCAGTAAAAAACGAACTGTTGTAAGGGGCCTATGAAGAGGGAGCTTGGAGGGAGGGTTTATTCCAACATCGTTGATGCCTCTTGGGTTTACACTGGTCCTCCTCCTCCTCCTCCTCCTCCTCCTCCTCCTCCTCCTCTTCCTCCTAAGAAGGGGCGCGTCAGGGGTGGAGGGAACACTGGATACGGCATATTTGATAAGGAATTCAACGTCTGGGGCTTCGACGCGAGGACTACAACAAGAACACCGAGTCGTTCACCCAAGCGCCTCTACGACAACGATGACGCAAAGTATAGATGCGAATCATTGCTCCATGCGTGTCGTGGCCTTCGTGCTGAGAACTGATCACTGCAATACATGGCATCCTCCGTTTCCACAGGTACTGACGACCACCACTGTGCGCACCGGGCCGCCACGTGCAGGGAGGCCGTCGGACGCGCCCTCGCCTTGATGAAGGTGCCCAGCATGGTCCGCGTTTGGCGGTGGACGGACCTGCGCACGAGGCGGCGGCGCCCCACAGTCTTGCCTCTGCCGTCTGGCCTGTGGCACCTGATCGCGCGACTGTGGCTGCTGCCTCGCAGCACTTCTGCTCTGGCCTGCCCCGCCTGACGGACGTGCAACACCTTCGCCCTCCGCCATCGCCATCGTCGTGCTCCGACTCCTCCTGTGTCCAACGCTCGCCCCCGCATGCTCCCTCTTAACACTGGGGGTCCGGCCACTGGAAGCCTTCCACAAGAAACCCTAACCCTGGAACCCCAGGACGTTCACTGATTCTTGGTGTGGGAGCGCCACGTGCGATGCGATGCGATGCGATGCGATGCGATGCGATGCGATGCGATGCGACCACCGTTGCGGACAGCGTCCAGGCCTACTCAAGACCGGGTGGGCGAGGCCGTGGCCTCGGGAATCCGGCGTGTCTGGACAACATGCAACGCGAGACAATGGCAAAACCATCGACACCCAAGAAACCCAGGGCACCGTCGAGGCAAGCAGGGTGGTTCTTGGCATGGGTCTCCGCTGCACCGTTGCCCCTGAGGTGTGGGCCCCTCGTCCTCGTCCTCGGCCTCGGCCTCGGCCTCGTCCTCCTCCGCCTCCTCCTCCCTCCTCCTCCTCCTTGGCATTGGTGTCTGCCGCAGTTCCCGCACCATCGGTCTTGGGGACCTGTAGCCCAGGCCGAGCTGCAGCGCCTCGTACCCGTTCTTCTGCAGCGTCATCTGCTGCAGGACGTGCAGGCGGTCCAGCTGGCACACGGTCACCTCGCTTCCCCCCCCTGCCTCTGCGCCGGGGGCCCCGCTGGCGCCCCTTCTTGCGACACCCCGTCGGTCTCCCACGACGTCCCTCTCCCCCTCTCCCGCGCAGCTGCTCTCCCTCCCTGCATCCCTCGCTCCTTGCCTCCCTTCCCCCGTCCTGACCCCGCCCCCGCTTCCCTTCCACCGCGGGGAGGAGGCAGGAGGGAAGAAGTGGGGAGAGACGGAATGTAAGGGAAGAGGGAGGATGGGGGGGGCCCCTCCCCCCTCTGATCATGCTTTCTTTCGCCTGGATTTGCTTCACCCGTTTTGATTCAGCAATTGTACTGTTTGCCCGTTCACATTGACCCGTTTATATATTCATCCGGTTTGAACTCGCCCGGGCTAAAATCATCTGGTTTAGAATCGCACGGGTTGCAGCTCGCCCAATTGTATTACGCCTGGATTTAAGTTCATCCGCTTCGATTCGCCCGTTTCAGTTCGCCCGGATCGGTTCGACCCGAATGTATAATTCATCTGGTTTATATTCGCCCAAAATTTCAATTAATCGGGGCTTGAATTTACCCCGAATCTAGATTCATCCGTTTGCATTCGCCCGCTTTGATATCCTGTGGGCGAAGTGATACAGAGCCGGGCGAATCAGAAGCAAATGAAACAACACCAGGCGATATAAACGCAGAGGAAACAACATCGGGCGTCGCAAAAGCGGACGAAACAAAAGCGGGTGAAATCAAATTGGATGGGTTTTAATTCAAGCGTGCTGACTCAGATCATGAAGCGTCGGTGGCGCGACATCGACGGTTCACGATTGCGCGTGTATGATCATATTTGGGAGAGCGCGCCACGAGAGACAGCGCCAAGGGGGGCCACCCCTAGCTACCTCTCCCCCCCCCTGGACGACCTCCCCTGTCGGAAGCGCCCCCACCCTCCATATTTTCGCGCTCCAGTAGCCACCCCGCCCCCTGGGTGGGCACCCCTGCCGTGAGCCCCCTATCTCCCCCCTTCCATCTGCGACCCCTGCAAACTACATCCACCCCTCGGACCTCCCCGGTTCGAAACCCCACCTCCTCCATCGCCCCACAAAGCTACCCCACCCCTGAACCTTCCAGCCAGAAGAACCTCCCCTGTTCCCCCCCCTCCCCCCTCTGTAACCTCTTCCGGAAGCCGCCTCCCTCCTCCCCTTGCCCCACTCGACCCCTGCAAGCTACCCCCTCCCCCCTTGAAACTCCCCAGCTGGAAGCCCCCCAACACCTCCCAACGACGACGACGACGACGACGACGACGACGACGACGACGACGACGACGACGACGACGACGACGACGACGACGACGACGGCGGCGGCGGCGGCGGCGGCGGCGGCGGCGGCGGCGGCGGCTTTCGTTCCCCAGTGCCAGGTGCGTTCGGCCGAGCGCCGATCTGCACACGAGGTGCCGGTGCCGACCGCCGCGGGCCCCTGCGACGAGGAGCGCGGCGGGGCCCTCGGAGGCAGTCGCCTCGACGAGGCCCAGCACCCGTGCTCGTTGCGTCTGCCCCCTGGGGGGGCCCGCCGCCTGCGCCTCCCCGCACCGTGGCAGCAAAGGCCTCGGGTAAGATAGCTCCGGGCCGCGCTCGCCCCTTCTGTACCCCAGTCCGCGGAAGGCCGTGGTGGCAAGACTCGTGCGCGTGGGGCCCTGCGAGTGCATGCCCGACCTACCTGCGAACAGGGAAGCCTGAAGGAGGGGAAGGAGGACGAAGATCGGGATGAAGCGGAGCGAGTGCCTACGCGTCTTCACCAAAGAGAGCTGCCGCAACCAGTCCTGCTGCTTTCTCAGGGTCGGTCAAGTGTTGGCGTCGACTTCTCCAATGCAGTAAGGCAGCCTCCCAAACCAAGTCGGAGGGAGGGAGTACGGGGAAGGGGGAGGAGGAATGATGAGGGCGACGAGGAGGAACATCAACTTAACCACTCACGCTCTCATGCGAATGCCGTGGAGAGTTCTGATCTCACGGCCACGGACTCGTACCACTCTGACTCCATCACAGGGGGTACATACTTTAGATACAATGTGTTGTGCGTTTGCCACTGTCATCAATTCCCAATGTCATCTGAACCTTCATCTGCCCCTGGCCCCTCCAGCCTCCTCCGACCTTCAACCTTCTGGAATCCGCCTCTGCCCTTCCTATCCCACCCCCCCTCGCTGGCCATGTGCTTCTCGCCCCATTCGTCCCACAGGCCCATGCAGCCGATCTTGTAGGCCAGCACGCCAGTGCGCTTCGAGCCAAGCACCTCGACCGCTCTGATGGCACCCGGGCAGAGAATCAATCCAAGCACCACTTCTCACCATATCATCCATCGGCCAAGTGAAACGTGCAGAGTTCGCTTCTGAGACGCTGAGAGTCTGCAGATGGCCCCTGCACGTTATCAGGAAAGCGGCAGCGGATCCTAAACATTCCACGACTTGTTCTTCGCCTTTTCATCCCCCAAGCGGGCTTCTAGAGGCCGCCGAAACAGGCCTCCAGAAGCCGCCACTGCTGAAACATCGCGACATCGAATGTCTGGAATCAGAGCTGTAGCATTCCACCTTAGCCGGCGACTCCGAAGACTGTGGTTTGCAAAGGGTGTGATTTGCAACCCGCGCCTGGGGGGACGGGCGAGAACCTCCGCAGGGACCTCCGCCACGCCCCGACGAGGTCTCATCAAACCTCTGGCGCAACGTGGTGGCTCCTACAGAGGGGCTGCTGGAATAAGGAACGTCACATCAGGAACGAAGCCCCTTTCTGGCGCCAACAGCGCCTGGGTGCACGGGGGCTAGAGCAACAACCACCGAACCAGCTGAGAGGAACAGCGAGCCCCTTCCGAACCCCAAACATCACTCCCCTTTATCCTTTTCTAACCCAACCACTCAGAGAGACCAGCGAAGAAAATTCAATTCCTGCGCGCTTGCCGAGTGTCACCGAGAAACTGCGACATGACTCGCCCCACAAGAACCCACCCCCCAACAAAAAAACGGCGAACGAAACGCAAATCTTCGGTGAACCTCTTAGAAGAAAACAGCGACGACGACACGCCAAAACACTTACTGGGGCGCATGCGAACCCTGCCACAAGGGCCTTCGGTGAAACTCCCTGAATCTCCCTATGAAGCCACGCGCCGTGTGAGGGGTGTGCCAAAACTGGACCTGGGACGCATGTGAGCCCTTCTAGTGAGGATTTCGGTGAAGCTCCCTGTGAGGCCACGAACCGTATGATTTGTGTGATTTGTGTGTGTGCGTGTGCCCAGATTTGCCCGGGGACATATTTGAACCCTGACACTAGGGCCTTCGATGGCGCCCCCCATGGGGTCACGCGCCCCAAGGAGGCCCGCGAGCAAGCCGCGGTCCGCATCACGCGCCCCAAAGAACGCCGAGAAACCCCGGAAGAAAAACGGCGACGAAAGATCCTGCGAAGACTTAGTGCGCTCCCCGAGAACATGGGAAACGGCGACGCCCAACCTCGGGGGGTTACCCACTAGAGTCTCCGTTGAGGGGGTGATCCCCAACCGGTCCTGATTGCAGCGTCTTTCGGGGCTACACGCAGGAGTGGCCCTGGGTAAGAGTGACCTTTGGTGCGCGGCTCTTTGGGGGCCGCGGGGGGACCAACACTCAAGCGTGCAAGACGCTGCGATCGCATCGCGCTCTGCGATCGCATCGCGCTCGGCGATCGGGGGACCCCAATGGGCCCGCACCAAAAGGTCATTCTGGCGAAGGCTCACCCTTACGTGTAGCCGAATCTTGACTGTAAGCCCCAACGGCGCCGATCGCAGACCACACCCCGGCGTAACCACACCCGTTGCAATCGTTAAGTCGGGCCTGTCCCCCGACAGGGGGATTTTGGACGAAATTTAAAAATACCCCAAAAATACTCCCAAATGGTCAAAGAATACCCCAAAAATCGACCCCATACTATTTTGTTGACTATTTTTGAATATTCCCCCTGTAGAGGGACAGGCCCGACTTAATGCAATCGCTGACTCGGGCTTGGACTTCTGCTCCTCGGCTCTCGCTGGGCAGAGCAGCGGGGGGCAGCTCTCCCTGGACCCCCCCTGGAGCGAGCGGGGGCGTGAGGAGGGGAGGGGGGAGCGGCTCGGGGAGGGGGGCATCGACTTGGCATGGGCGATGGAGGACGGAGCGAGGAAGGAGGAGGTAGG